GACTTGAGGATACGGGTGGATGAAAAACTGAATACGAGCTGGCAATGTGCGCTTGCAGCCCAGAAAGCCAATCACCTCCTGGGCTGCATCAAAAGAAGTATGGCCAGCAGGGCAAGGGAGGTGATGCTCCCCCTCTACTCTACTCTGGTGAGACCCCACCTGGAGTACTGCATCCAGCTCTGGAGCCCTCAGCATAAGAAAGACATGGACCTACTTGAGCAGGTCCAAAGGAGGGCCACGAAGATGATCAGTGGGCTGAGTACCTCCCCAGTGAGGACAGGCTGAGAGAGTTGGGGTGGCTTAGCCTAGAGAAGAGAAGAGAAGCCTCCAGGGAGACCTTATAGTGGCCTACCAGTACTTAAAGGGGGCCTACAGGAAAGATGGGGAAGGACTCTTTATCAGGGAGTGTGGTGATAGGAAAAGGGGTAACGGTTTTGAACTGAAAGACAGTAGATTTAGATTAGATATGAGGAAGAAATTCTTTACTATGAGGGTGGCGAGGCACTGGAACATGTTGCCCAGAGAAGTTGTGGATGGCCCTTCCCTGGAAGTGTTCCAGGCCAGGTTGAATGGGGCTTTGAGCAACCTGATCTAGTGGAAGGTGTCCCTGCCCATGGCAGGGGGGGTGGAACTAGATGATCTTCAAGGTCCCTTCCAACCCAAACCGTTCTATGATTCTGTGAGTCTATGATTCTACAAAACCTGAAGGTTCAGTACCCTGAGAATCAATTGGATAAAAGTTTAAGCCACAACTTATGTTAGAGGGTTGGTGCCTTATGACTCTCTCTGTACTGATCAGCAGAGATTTACTGTTAGCAAGATTTCAATGAACAGCGAAAATTCTGCTCCAGTTTTCATTACTTTCAAGACAGAAGAGGAACTTTGGCTTAATCAGACACAATTCCTCAGGAGGCTCCTACAGCATTGCTGCCTTTCTACAGATTTACCTGACAGTTTTATGGATGCAAACCCTTTCTTTACATGAAAAGAGATTGTTATACTGTTAGATCAAGGTGATCATCCATTAAGATCCAGACTCTGGCTTTAATCTCTGAAGGTGTAAAAAGGTGTAACAACGTTTCATGCAAAGAAAGGATTTACATTCATAAAACAGTCTTAGGTAAATCTGTAGAAAGGCAGCAATGCTGTCTGCATTGCAAAGTGAAACTGTGAATCTTTCATTGCAGTGAAACTGCATTCCAAGATGGGTCTGGACAGCAAAAAGGAGAAACACAGGAGATACCTGAATCTGAGTTTAGGTTTAAAATGTGAAAATGGCATCCCTCTACATAGTCTGGTACTGAGTGTTTAAAAACTGATGGGCAAAACTAAGTGTCTGCAGCTGCACATTAATGCAGCTGCCTGAGCTCTAGCAAAACACTTTTATCATTGTCATTAATTTCCAGAAAGGGCAGAATGCCATCTAGCTGCTAGGGATGGGCTCTCGCGACTGAATCTTGTTGAAAGATAGATAATCAAAGAAGGTTGTCATTCAGTAGCATAAATCTTAGTATCAGAGAGGATTTCCCTTTATTTTTAGTAAGTATCATAGGGAAGAAGGATGGGGCACAAAGCAGCTCCTTTTGCAGAATACTATGCTTTTTAAAAGCTTGGTGAGTGATGACATATCACTGGATGACTGTGCTTTTCATGTGTATCAGACAGGCAGGTGTTAGGATCTAAAATTCCGATTCTAACAATCTCCCTGGAGCTTAAACAGTTATCCAGACAGTGGCATTAATCAGTTACTTCCCAATGCATTATATATGACAGTGTAAGGTTGACAATTACACACCAATCAGCACATTTGCCTAAACCTGAATATTTTGTCTGTTTGGCAGGAGGAAGTATAACATAAAAGATAAAAATAAGGAAAAAATGAAAGAAGTTCTCACACATGGTACAAATTTCTAGTATTCTTTCTATCACTACCAGCACAGGCAAACTATTTTTAAAGTTGTGGTTTTTTTTTTCTTCATAGCTTGTTTTTTCATTTGTGAGCAATGAAGAACATACTAAACCAAAGTTATTCTCTTGCAGCCCAACTTGAGTCCATAAGGCTTTTGAGATGTTTTGTGTCTAATCTTTTTTAACAAATATTGCTACCCAAAGCAACTTCATATCAAATTGTCTTAAAATAAGTGTCACAATGAAGAGTTCTGTCTTATAATTTCAACTACTTCACAGTATTTTTCACATAAATAAGGTACAATAAAATATTATCTGCATAATAAAGCATAAAAAGGCTTTATTATTTGATAACTGTAGAATAAATAATGTTGGAGGGGTTCTTGTAACTGAGCTGACCATATATGCTGAATTTGTTCTCTTCAAATATAGTTTTCTTTTTCAAGGAAAATACCTGTGGCACCATTCTTTTATAGATAAGACTAGCGTTAATCTACATAAGGAACCTAGCATGATTTATATTAAAGGAATGTTTTTTAAGTATTCAGGAGATGCTGTACAAGCATTGCAAAGCCTATAATCCATATCCTGCAAGGTCTGCAATGTTTCATAACTTTGACAGTACAATTAGAGATGTGAGGATAATCAAGTCAGTTTTTATCTTACTAGCCAGCATAGTGTAAGCTTCAGTGGTAGTCTGGAATTCAGCATCTTGCCATATGCATAAGAAACCTTCAGTTGCTGAACCTTTTGTTGGCGCAAGCTCACTGCTCTCAGTACTGAACTAGCAGGTTAAGCTATCGTGAGTAGTCTTAAGAACAATTTGCAACATCCTTTGTTTGCTGTACAGGTGAAGTTTTAGGCAGATTCTTATTGTTTTTGACACAAATAAAAGCTACCAAGAACACCAAAATGTTTTGGAAAAGCCATGGTGTTTCCTGGACTCCCTGAATTATTTCCAGTTTTAGCAGCCTGCAAAACTGGACTTCCTGAATTATTTGCAGGTTTAGCAGCCTGTAAAACTGGTAGTCCCTAGAGCCTGGCTCAGGTCTTCTAGTCTTCCAGGGAACAAAATGCATGACTGTTGCTGTCTTAGACCCAGAGCTTCAGATTAAGATCTGTCACTTCCTGAATGATGATTCAGGAGTAGCCTGTTTGGTCTGTTTACTCAGAGGCAAGGGGTCCTGCATCCTGTGGGCCCCCAGCAAATTTCCACCTGAAGTCTGACACTGAAGGATACTGCTGCAGAATACACTGCAGTCCAGTTGGCCGCAGAGGTGTCCTCATTCCTCCTGGTCACCTGCAGTCCCTGACAGACCCAGAGGAACCAGCATTTCATACGCCTCTGTCTTCAGGTTGGAGATAACCCCTGGAAACCATTTGCTCCCTGGTGGTTCCCAGTGCAGAGTTTGCTATGCCAGCCTTTCCACCTGCCCACACGGCCGGCCACTCTGCTCGTAGTGTACTCGGGAAGGATGGACTCCTCTTGAAAGTGAGCTCCTCAAGCATATTTCGGATGGTACGCAGGCAATGCCAGACGAAAGAGAAATGACAGAGAAGATGAAAAAGCCTATCTAATGCACAGAACTATCATGTCCTAATGTAAGTAAAAAACCCCTATGTTTTAATATATGTACTCTATTAGAACATAGGATTTTTGTAGCTATGCTTGCCCACTTTTTTTTTCTTTTTCCATTTATTCCTCTATCAGGTGATATCTTATGTGAAATTTTCTACATTGTCCACACATCTGAACACCCAGATCTCACATTACTACAGTGTGAAACAAGCTGTTGCTGGTAAGTGATGACTCTTACTGAGCTGTGAAGGAGAGGGACCATACTCACTCAGTTCTCTGCAAACTTTCAGTTGGATTTCAGTAAGCTGACACCTATCTCCAAAGGCTCATATTTCCCCTTTTCTTTTTCTTTTGTTTTCTTTTTCTGACACAGTAATTTGAGGCAAGTCAGGACATCTTAATTTTTAAGAGCCAGGAACCTGTGACATCCAGTCCCTGAGGGGAAAATACTATTTAAATAATTCCATGTAGTCTCCCATGTCTGCTAAAAGAGAGAATAAATGTAATTAGAAAAATGTGACTAATATCTTTCCCTGAATCCCCAGTGTGCATCTTCTTTAGCCATCTGTTCGCTCTCCTCCAGGCCCCGATCCCACATGTGCTAAACAGTAAGCACAGAACTTATCTGCAAACCTGAAGTTAAGGGTATCTTATACCTCCTAGTATAGGGGGATCTTATACATCCTAGTTTTCCAGCTCTTAAACTGTACCTTCTGTAGAGAAGGTGCCTTCTTGACTAGAAAGCGCACCTTTACCAGCTTACCACTTTCAGTATTTTTTGTTCTTTCAGTATTCCCAACAGTTAGAGAAATACTGTTACCCTTCTTTGGGCACAGAGGAGGAACTGAGAAACAGAGTTAAATGACTTGCTCTGGGCCATACAGGGACTCTGTGACTAACTAGGATTTGATACTGTTAAATAATTCTGTAGAGGAATACACTTTCCTCTGAAGCTTAACTCCCAGTTTCAACTGACATATTCTACAAACAGGCACCATGTTACAATACCGATGCTCGTTAAATGATAGATTGAAAGTCAGTCTCAAAGTACCAGAGCAGCACATTCTTCTTGAGCCTTCCTTGTTAATAAATTGTGAATCACATATATCCCGTCAATAACCTGTTGTGAAAAACAAAACTTTTCCTTGTTGGATCAGGCAGTGCCATTACAAAAATGGTATATTGTGCTTCTCAATTTATTTTGCAGATAAACAAGACTACTTTAATTACCATGATCTGACGTGACATCTCCAGAACAGAAGGTACAGTACTGAAAGGTATAATATATTTGCAATACAGGGATGGCTTATTTTAGGCATTAAATGAAATGGCATTAACATAGAGTATAAAAAATACTGCCCTATTCTTAATAGAATCTTTCTTGAAGGAACAATTTTAAAAATGGATTTCAGATTTTACTGCTTAAGTCAAAATATTAAATGTTGCACTAAATTATATTTTGGAAAATGTGAAGCTTGTGCCACAAACAAGAAATAACTTTTATTATTCAGGGTGTCTTGGGTGTGTTTTAATTTCTTAGATTTCATAATGCAAAGTTAATCCTTGCCAGACCTTAAATAAGTAGGAGGTTAGCAGAGTCATGGAGCCCTAAAAGTCGAATCTTTTCACAGACCACTTTTCATTTTCTGATTGATTAGGCCAAAATAGCCATCGCGATCAATATAACAAGCAAATAGGAGGACTGAGTGGCAAAGAAATAGGTGAAAAAGTGCATTTATTTGAGGTGTGTGGACATTTTAAGAAAGGAGATTAGAGAGATGGAACCAAAGCCAAGGAGGGTATAAAAGAAAGGCCATATTCAGGCAAGAAGAAATCAGAGCAGTAGAAAAATTACCATTTTTGATACCTCAGTCAGGCAGCACAGAACAGCTGCTGTGCCTAACAGAACAAACAATTCTTGCACCTGCAGAAAGAAAAGAAATAATGGGAACATAGCATCTTCCTAATGAAAAGAAGTTGATGTGGATGTCCTTGATAATATAAATTGAGGTCCCTGTTAAGGTCACAGCCTAGCAACTGTGGGAACAAAACAGATCCAATGACACAAAAGACCTTGTCTGAGTTACTGCTGTTTACCTAACACACAACATATTTTCTCCCGTACCCATCAGCAGGAATATTTGCTTGAAAAGTTTTGTGTAAGCTGCAGCAGAGCTGTGGGAGCTGGAGAGAACATCCCCCTGTACCGCAGTGCTTAGTGCCAGGGCAGCTGGAACCCTGGCTGCAGCCTGGGCTGCCTACCCACTGCAAGGGGAGGCACGGAGGCACCAGCGCCATGACCCAAGGGGTTTTTGGGCCACGTGGTGAGGACCAAAAATTTGGGATGCATGGATCCTGCCACGATGTCGAGAGGCAGCCACTGATCACTGCAGAACAGTACTTGTATTCAAACTGCAGGCATCTTTCTACCTAAGTTTATGTATGTAGTACATTCAGTAATTAAGTAAAGCAAAAAGGGAATTATGCCACATGAATGGCCATCTGACAGATTTCCAGGTACAATATAAACAGTCCTGAGTGGTGGAAATACCTGAACAGACTAACTTTATCAGCATACACAGGACTTTGCTACCTACAGACAGCTTGCAGAGCACATACTTAAGATACACAATCATGAACACAAGGTGAAACATCAAAAATAGCACTTCAAGGAAAGACCACAACATTTCCCAGGACAGGCATCTGGATATTGTTGACAATGAAATTTTGAATGAAACTGCAGCAGAAAAATCAAATAAAGCCTAGGTTTTACAGACAGAGAAAAATACCATAGATCACAATATATTTTTATAGGACAGGCTTCAATAGTTCCCAAGAACCAGGTCACAACCTTAATGTTGGCTGACTGAAGCTATTGCATTACTATTGTCACAGATCACTTTTGCATTAGTGATGTGCTTATACCACCAAACAGATTTTAAAACATTATAATGTTGGAATTAACTAGCATTTTCTGATAAGGAGCAAGTCACCTTCTATTATCAGGCATCAAATCATTTTAGTATTTTGCTGATATGTTTTCCTCTGGTACAATCTGCCAAAGAAAATAGCTTGCCTGCCTGTAGAGTGGAAAGAAAATGTGACTGAATAAGATGCAGATAAAAATGGATACAGAAATTAGCCCTGAAGTACTCTAGATTTCCCAAGGCCTTGCTAAAAACTCAGAGACAGTTATATTTGGCTTCAAGTGCTCAAGCCCAATTTTTTTCTCAGAAAATGGTAGATCCTATTCAGAGAGTTTAAATGATGGCAAAGATATTTAAAGGAAGACCAAATTTTGTTTATTTGTGATGTGCACTACATTCATCAGTGGTAGAATAGGTATGGTAGATAGATAGATAAAGATATCTTTGTAGTATCATGTGAATTTCGAACTCAGATATCAAGTATGGACCAAATATTTCATTTTAGCAATCATTCATATGACTGTACGGGTGTGTCTGTATCAGAGATTGAAGGATTTGTGGGTTTTGGGGGGTTATGAATTTGGCTTGCATATATATATATATGGAGACTTATGGTACACACTCAGGTATATGACTGGTGCACTTGAAGTGGCTTCCTTTTGAAACAAAGGTTGCTGCCATGCAATAGGCAGCTAGGGAGCACCATTTTAATGTGGACGCAAGGTCTTCTGCTACATAGCTCTCTACATTTTTATGGCACACGCAATGTTAGATTGTTGGCAATCTGTTTATTATTTCATATCCGTGATGCTTGTTGATAGAGATGCTGTTACAGGTCTGCTTCTTACCTATCTGTGAGTTATCAAATTATAGTCACAGGTAGACCTCTCCACTATTATCTCTCTATTTTTAATTACTCAGTGCTATGTCCTACTAACGGTGGGTAATACTTAGCAAAAAGGACAGGAAAGTGTGCATTTAGTGGTTGTAATTGACAGAAACTGTAGGTAAATTCCTTGCTGTGTAAGAAAAAATCTGAAGCTGAAGATGTAGAAAATGATCTCATCTAGAAAATGCCTACAGCCTACCCATTTGTAGATGAGGACGGCAACATATGCTTCATACTGATTCTTGTATTATAAAGACAGAAAAGGTGTGTCTTGCCCTCCTTCTCTTGGCACATTTTCTTGACCAAAATTATCTTCTACTGCAATGATGTATTTAAAGCCAGGTCCTCCTATATAACAAAATCTTCTGAAGGCTAGTACTGCGGTGGTTCAAGTCAGCTACCTACACTCTCTTGTTCCAGTTTCTGAAAGGGAATTGCAGCTTGTTTATCCTGGGTGCACCTCTGACAGACTCCCTTCTGAGTCATAGTCACAGTAACAAGACTGAAAGAGAGATGAGCAGCACAGCTGGAGCCACGGCTTCCAGAGAAGGTTGTCCCACGACAGCTGGTCAGGGACAGCATGCAGGGATCTGGTGTGATTGTCTACTGCTAGGTGTATGACCCTGAGGATTTCATAGAAATGGCTCTCCGTTTCTGGAGTCAGCGGGACTCTCTCTTCAGGGTCTCTGGAAAGATCGAAGAGCAGTGGGGGATCATGCCGTGTGATGAATCCTCCATGGCAGAAGCAAACATGAGAATCGTAGCAACCATTGGAGTCTTCAGGACTGAAGTTTGGAGTGAAGAAGAAGACTTTCCAGACAGATTCGCCTGCAAATTACAGACACAAAACAACTGGTGATAAAATGACAAACTAAAAGTCCCCCAGTCTTATGAAACTCTAATTTACACCACGGGAAATTAGTCTTTTGGTACAACCTCACCCTGTACAGGAACTGCAGTATACTGAAAGAATAAAGCAAAATTGAGCAAAACAAAAATAAGCAAAACATGGCGATTTTCATACTACACATATTTATGAAATAATTATGATCATTTCATTTCCTTGGAAGAATTCTGATTAACTAAATCATAGAAAACTTAAAAGAACTTTGCGTCTTTACATAAACAGTGCTAAGAAGATTTGCATAAATATTTACTAAGCCATTGTACTGTCTTCTTCAAGACTTATTAAAATGTACCTTTGCCCCTTGACCATATCTAGACACCGTTGGATCATGTCTGCTTCTCATTTTGCTAATCAGAATAATTTCATCTTTACCTTTTTCTCTCTTCCTCTCTCTGTTGTATTAACCCATTGCCCTCTGCCACATGCTTTCATTGCAAAAACCTGGAGACAAAGTTTCTCATTTTATTAAATGTGATGACATGAAAAGGTATAATGGATGCTAAATTCCTGTCTCAGGCCTCTAGACGTTTCTTTCAAAAATAAACAACTGTTACGGTAGTACAATTTGTAGGTGACATTCTGCTTTGTAAAATGGGAACCAAAGGTCTCCATTGGTCATTTTCTCTCAGCTTAATTTGCTGTGTACAGAAACTGAACTGTCTGCAGTAGTGTAACTTCGTCAGTATTTTCACTGTTTAAAAATACTAATTATTTCCTGGATTAAGAATAAACAGATATCAGTTGGTTCCTTCAAGAAGCACTCTTGAACAGAAGGTACACTGGAGAATCTGAAAATACTTAACAAGAAAGGAGTAAACGAAAAATGGCTACTGTTTTCCTCAAGTATCACAGAACAGACAGGGAAGGCAGGAACAGACAGGCACTTCCAGGGAAGCACACCATCTTCCTACAGCCAGGGAAGCATGCAGTTCTCCAGAAATGGACCAAAGAATAGTTAATTAGAGTCAAATTCTGTACTTTATTCTTAATAAAAGTAGGATACTACACAGCTGAGGTCTGTGATGTCAGACTACCTACCCACTTGAGTCTATACAGACATCAGAAATACATATACATCAGTAATTTGCATTCCTCAGCACCCTATTGTGAAAAACATCTTTTGTATCACCTCATTTTTTTAAATACTGGGGGAAAAACTCTTTTTGGTATTTTGTTGAATCTTGTTAAGTTCACAGAAAGCTTGTTAATCTAGTAAGAGTTTGTCCCAGATTTATGTGTGCTACAGAGGTTGATATTCATTAATCAATTAATCAATTCAACAGAAAGGAAAGCACTAGAAAATGCGGGGAGAGCAGAGATGAACTGTTAGATGCCATGCTGTAACTACCTCACACTCAATTTTTAAAGATAAAAACAGGTTTAAAGAAAGAAATGTTTCAGCGGACTGAAGAGTCACAGGCTGCAGTTCTAGTCTATAGCATGAATTTAAAGGACAGTAGGTGACCTTAAGATTCTTTACAACTTCTTCTATCCCACAGCATTTTTCACATTATAAGAGATTTTACATTTAGGAACCAATTCAACAACAGAGCCTGGAGACTTCCAGTTCACTTAGTCTGCACTTAAATCAGAGTCGGAGGGGTGATGCTTATTATACACATTAGACTGGGAGAACCCTCTGAATGCTGCTTGGAAGTCAGCAAAGGGGAAGGAGCTTTAAAGGCTGAGAGTGACTTGCTGCCACAGACAATAGGACGTGGCAGGCTTTAAAAGGCTCTGGCTGTGACAGCAGCAGTGACATAGTCTTGGAAGGGAAGGGAAGGGAAGGGAAGGGAAGGGAAGGGAAGGGAAGGGAAGGGAAGGGAAGGGAAGGGAAGGGAAGGCAGCATTCCTTCATCTACCTTTACAATAACATTTGGAAAGGTTGGTTTGATAGTTGAATTCTTTGCTGTTTTCTCAGAATTAAAATAAACAAACAAATTCTAACACTCCCCCTTAAATTTCTTTGAACTTATGCATGGAACATTTCCCAGAGCAGAAATATACCTCTCATTTACTGAGATCTAGAATTTATATTCTGGGAAGGTATGTAATTCTATACTAAGCATTCCTTCAGGCTCTTTAAAAGTGTTTAATTGGCAAGATGGACAATGAAGAACAGAAAAAGCCAAAGGGCTTTATTAATCAGTGCACCATATGCCTTTGTAGACCATGCAACATTTGCCCCACCTGAGAATTTGATTCAGGGCACTATAGCACCTTGATATAAGAAGAGCAGAAAAAATTAATATAGCTATTAAAATGTCAACTAAAAGAAATTCCAGTAAGGCCATGCAATTGAGAACTTTGTGGTCAGGTTGTCTGACCACACATCTATCTTTGATGGTACACTTGTGCTGAATGAGATTGAAAAGAAATTTTCAGCCAATTTTTTTTGGTGTTGGGCATTGTAGCATCTGGCCAGTTCAAGGGCTTACAGATAGCAATATAAAGTTGGGGATTCTGAATTAATGCAAGTCAGTACAAGCAGCTCATATAGGTAAGACATGGGGAAAAGAAAGAAATAAGGAAGTTGTACCATGATTTTTTTTCCCCACAGAATAAAGAATTGTTCAGGTGTGCCTATATACAGAGCATATGACGTTGCAAAATCATGCACGGGGTTGGGGACAGGGCATGTGTGACATCACATCATGTCTGAATCACATCACCAGTGTTTTGAAGAGCTGATGCTAGTTTATCAGCTATGTTGCTACATAATGTCATGATTATACCATGCAAAACACTGAGCTCCGGGAGAGCAAAGTCTGTTATTGTGCAATGTTCATCTGTTGCACTGCAGCGATGTTTCAGCGAGGATCTGGAACTTCATGTGGTGCTGGAGGAACAGCAGCGCAGAATTTAACCGCCAATTTCCTAAGCACTATAAAAACTAAAGCATATCTGTCAGTGTCTGTGGCTGTGGAGCAGCCAGCGTAATATACTAAGAGACATAAAGAGCTGTCAGACTTCTAATCTGTAAAGCTGATGAACTGTATAAGGCTTAATATTAAAAAGAGAGATCTCTCTCCCAGTCTTTCTCAGCTGATATAAAATCTCATTTTGTCAGAGGGTTAACTACAAGGATCAAATTAATCTCTTGGTAATTAACGATACCTTTGTTCTGCAAAGCATCTGGATAGTAAACTCTCTTTTTATATAAAGGTAACTACATGTCTCTTCCTCAGTGAAGTTGGTAGTAAAATTGTCAGGGCTCCCCCACAGTCAAGTATATCAGGTTCCTTCTAAAACAGCAGGCAAACCCTAGGATTGCAGCACCCTTCAAGATCCTTTCCCAATGCTTCACAGCTACTTTATTTTGCACCCATTTCTCCTGCAATTCTCCAGCTCTCTGAATTGTCCAACAATTTCACCTATTCACCTCTCAGAATACCCCTTTCCTTTTCACATTAAGAAAAACAAAACCTACAGAAGTTGCACATATAAATAGTCTCAAATTAAAATAGGTTGCAATCAGTTCAAGCAAATCTGCCATTAACGTAATTGTTCAGAGTTCGATCTCCCTATCAGACTCCTCTTCTGTCTTATTATCCTTCAGCCATCTATTTATCCGCTCATACTCATACAGACAACCGTAGCTCCAACAGACAGGTAACAGCTGTGAGATTAAATAAAAGTCTCTCAGGAAGATATATTAATATTTCCAAGATGAAGTGACACACTGGATATGGATGTCATTTCTGTGATAATAGCACTGTTCTTAATCACTGATGGCTAAATGGTGTTTTTGATAAGCAGTCCTTGAAGTGAATAGAAGCTATTGCTGTGTTATTGCCTGTACCTCATTTTTACTGCATTTAATCTATGACAGTAGCTTTATAGGATTGCTGCTACTGTCATCTCCTTTGTTCATATCATTTTGTTTCTTCTTTCTGTAGAAGAACAAGTTAAACAAGTCTGTTCTTCACTGTAAACCGGGGAGCTGGTCTCTCCTTGACTTCAGATGCCTTTGAGTATAACCCTTTGAGCATAGCGTACCAGTGTAAATTGCCCACAGACTTTTCCTGTATCTCAAGTGTGCTCTGCAGCCGTTGTCAGCTCCCACGCTCTAACTCACGCCAGCTCTTCCACGTTTCTACAGAGTAGCAGATGAAAGCTGCAACTCACTTGAAAATTACATTCTTCAGATAATTGTTGTTATTGTTAGATCGAATCCTTTCTTCCTGCTTCCTATACCTTTAGAGTCATTTAGAATTGTTAGGTTTTCTGCTAATGTTATATAAAATAGGTATCACACATGTGCATGTATTCAGCTCTTCAATAATTTAACAATTTAGAAAAGGTTTTGGCTGCTAAATTATTGTAGAACTATATATAGCACATAGAGAATACTCTTTTGTTACTATAAAGAAAAGATACATATTTTTATGAGTATGTGCATTCCTCAAACAGCTGATAAAAATCTGCTATTTGAGTTAAAAAATTTGTAACTTTATTGTTCCTCCAGTGAAAATTTGTATTTTTTAGATACTTGTTTTAAGTATCTGGGTATGTTACAATATTATACTGTTATACCACTCAAAAGACAGCACATTATGTCCCAATGTAGGTAGAGAATAACTGAGTGCTATTCAAAGACATAATGTTAGTTTATGAGAATCAGTTGTTGCTAGAAGAGACTTGTGTAAAAAACTGTGCAGAACATAAAGTATTTGAGGTAAAAACATGAAAAAACCCAGTAGTAGCAGTGATGTTAAAATCTTAAGGATAGAAACTGCAGTGTTAAGTATCCTCTAAAACAGAAAGGATTGCACATTGGTGGATACCTAATAATCATACTGAACCACTGCTGGAGGAAAAATACAAGACAGAGTGAAACCATGCTCAGGCTGCTGAAGTCAAGACAGAAGTCTCACGGCTGAGCTCATTATCTAGAGTAAGTTCTGTGGTACGAGAAGCT